TTAAAATAGACTTTTCTGGGGTGCCTGGTTGGCTCAGTCAGTTGGGCATCTAATTCTTTATTTCAGCTCAGGGTGTGATCTCAGGGTCATAAGATCAAGCCCCACCTCAGGCTCTGTGCTCAGCAGGAAGTCTGCTTGAGATTCTCTCCCTCTCCCTCTGCCTCTCCTGCTTATGTGCACCTGTATGTGTGTGAGTGCTCTCTCTCTCTCTCTCCTCTCTCTAATACATAAATAAATCTTTAGAAAAATAAAATAGGCTTTTGAGATATCTTTACATTTTCAGTAAATTATCTTAAATAAATCATCATTAAGATATAGTCTGCAAACCACAAAATTCACCTGTTTAAAGTACGTGATTTAGTGGTTTTAGTATCTACACAGAGTTGTGCAACCATCACCAAAATCTGTTTTAGAACATTTGTATCACCCCCTCAAAGAAGTGCCTTTCCCATCAGCAGTCACTTCCCATTCCCCTTCCACCTAGTCCCTGGCAGGAGGGAGGAAGTGATGGAGGGAGGAAGGGAGTGACAGAGGGAGGGAGGGAGTGAAGGTATCCTGAGCAGCAAGCTTCATGTCACTCACTGCTCAGAACCAGCCTTTACTTTCTTTCTTTCTTTGATTTTGTTTCCCCTCCCACATCTATTGCTGCTGTGGCTTCCAAGCTCACCTCCTGCTCTCTATCCTCACACTCCGGCCAGACAACTTTTTCCAAAGAAAAGAATGTTCCAGACACTTGGGAATGCAGCTATGCTGCTAGCATGGTTCCTACAGGGAGCTTCAGGCTGATGAATCAAGCACTGTAGAGACAGGCCTTGGGGTATAAGTTCCGTGGGGCAGAGAAGGCCTCTCTCCTGGGCCCTTGGTCTGCTGCAGAGGCCTCAGAAAGTAAACACAGCCGACCTGATTATTCCCCTCCACTTCCTCCTGAGTCAGAGCTATCTCGGGTTAACTCAGGGAAGAGGCTAAATTAAGCCTTGAAACCAAGCTGCCTCGGTGACAGGCACTTTGTTTTGCTTGAGTGACTGTGATGATGGGCCTTTGCTTTTAAGGGCAGCGCTAATTGCGTCTCTTTAGACCAACCGTGGCGATCCATTCCCTGCCCTGCAGAGACGGGGCGATGCCAGGTCCCTCCGCAGTACCCACTCATTCATTCCCCACACTTCTCCCAGCGCCTGCCCCGTCCGTGCCAGGCATCGTGCTTGGAGGTGGACACTCAGCAGCTTGCCCTCTCGGGGCTCGAAGTCTAGCCAAAGAGACAATAAGGAACAAGACCACCCACAAAGAGATAACTGGTACTTGGATAAGATGTCTGTCCAGAGCAGAGAAAGCAGTGGATTTCATTTTTTATTTTTGTAGAATTTAGTGTTTAATAAAGGACAAACTCCAATACAAGGATGCTGCTTATGCGATCACCCTGCACTTCAGCAGAATTGTGAAAAATAAATTTCATGCGATATTACCGAATGATGGGATTGCAGATTATGATGTTTAACAAAAATATTGCGAGCTCAGAAGTGCAATGCTAGAAAAGCTTGAGTCCATGTAAGGCGTTTATTACATCTCCAAAGCCCAGAAAGTTCAGCTGAACCCATCACTTGATTTAGAGGTGAGACAACGAGGCCAGCAGGTGACATAACTTGTCTGGAGTCACAGTGTGGGGAACCAAGTCTTCAGGGCTTCTCTTCCGGGACAACAGGGCTGTCCCCCAAAGTACTTGTACTTTCTCGTGGCTTCGTGCAGGGGCTGGGCCATGGAGTCAGCAGGGGAAAAGAGGCGATCTCTCTGGCACTCACAAACAAGCAAGCAGACATGGCCCCTCTGAGAAACTATTTAACACTAATAAACAGGTTCACGTGTGCACCCCATACGCTCCAGCAGTTCCTCCTCTGGGGGTAGGTAGCCAATGCAAAATCACACACATAGAAGCTTTATGTCTAAAGAAAAAAACTGCAAACATTGAACTCTAGAAAAAAATTGCAAACATTGAACTCTAGAAAAAAATCGCAAACATTGAACTCTAGAAAAAAAATTGCAAACAAACATTGGTGTATGCATGCTGCAGTATTTAAGGGGAAGTGGAATAATACTTGCAATTTACTTTGAAAGACACCCAAAAAGGGAGATGGATAGATATTTGATGAAGAAGCATAGTAACGTGTTAACGGTGGAATTTAGATGGTGTGTGTGCGTACCGGTGCTCACAGTACATTTTTTTTTTTTGCTGTATGTTGAAAAATTTTATATAAAACATGGGGGAAAGTGCAAAGCAGACATGTACAAGGATGTTCAGAGCAGCATAATGGCTTCAGACTGGAAGCAACCCAAATGTCCATCAGCTGTACGTAGAGATCTACATTGTGGGTCTTGTTTGTTAATGGGATGCTGTTCTTAATAAGAATAAATGAGCCGCAGCTACACAACAACACAGGCGAATTTCACCAATGTTACCACTGAGGGGGGAAAACCAGACAGACTCAAAAGAGGACGTGTATGATTGTATTTGTATTCCATTTGTAAAATTTATAAACATGTGGAACTCACCTCAGGTGTAGAAGCCAGGATAATGGTTCGGGGGTCAGGGTGTGGGAGGAAGGATAGTAAGTGAAGGAGGGCCTCCTGGGGCTCTGGAAGGTTCTGTTTCTTGATCTTGATGCTGGCTAAGCATGTGAACATTTATCAAGCTGTACATTTAAGGTCTGTGCACTTTTTTGTGCACTTTTCTGTATGTGTATCATGCATAGTTAAAAACTGTACTAGGAAAAAGAAAGCCAAATAGATCCACCTGGAAGCTTTGCCTAGCCCAGCTACAGGGTAACATCCCGCTTGGAGCCTGTGTAGTATATCAAAGCTGTGAATGAAATGAAATTTTGCTTTATGACATTCATTCATTCCTTTGTGCATGGATTCATGCTGCATTAATTCCCCTAGTTTCCAGTGATTGTCTCTGTTTCCTTTGCACACACGTCTGCTTGCATATACTGTGTTGCAAATCTAGACTTGATCGCACGACCTGACCCAGCCCTTTCAGGGGTTTATGCGCCCAGAGGGATGGGCATACAGACATTTCACTTTGCAGCCACCCCTCCCACCTTCCTGGATTCCTGTTTGGGAGCCTTTCTGGATATCGGCCCCAATCAGTTCTCCAGAGAAAAAGAAACAGTAAGAAAGATGATAGATTGATGATAGACGGGTATAGATAAAAAGAGATTTATTCTAAGGAATTGGCTTATGTGATTATGGAGGCTGGCAAGTCTTAAGATCTGCAGGGTGAGTCAGCAACCAGGAGATTCAGGAGAGCCCATGGGTTAAGTTTCAGTACAAAGGCAAGCAAGCTCAAGACCCAGGAAGAACCAGTGTTACGGTTTGAATTCAAAGGCCCGGGAAGGCTGATGTCCCAGCTCAAAGACAATCAAGCAGGAGAAATTCCTCCTCCTTTTGTTCAATTTAGGTCTTCAACTGATTAGATGAGGCCCACCCACTTTAAGAAGAGCCGGTTACTTTACACATTCTCTGCCAATTCAAATGTTAATCTCATCCAGGAACATTTCAAGAGACACCCAGAATACTGTTTGACAAATGTCAGGGCACCCCGTGACCCAGTCAAGTTGATGCACAAAATTAACCATCACAACCTCAGAGCATGAAACACTTTCTGGCTCTAAAGGAGGAAGTGCAGAAGGCTCCAGCTGCCCACCAGGTCACCTGGATGACCATGTTTATTATATTAAAGAATAAAGGGAAATGATTTTAGTTACTGCAAAATTCACCATGCAAAAAAAATCTGAAACCTATGAACACAGCGTAGAGGATAATGATGAAAAATGAGCACCTGCGTGTTCCCCACCCAGCTTAACCAGTGGGAAATGGCCAGTGTGTTGAAGGCTTTTGGTGCTCCCTCCAAATGGCCTCCCACTTTGTCCTTCCCTATGAGACACCTGTTTTCTGATTTTAACCATTAATCATTCCCTTGCTTCCCATAAAATCTAAATATTATGTCTCTAAACAGTATATTGCTTGGTTTTGTCTGTCTTAAGTCATTGTGAATGGACTCCTGCAGTCCAAAGCCTTCTGCGTTTTTTCTTTCACTCTGCATTACATGTTGGGGCTTCATTATGTTGTCCCATGTACCCTCAGTCCGTTCATTTCACTGCTGTATAAGAGCCCATCACGTCGAGCCGTGTCTAGCGCTCGTGCCCATCTGTTCTACACTTGGTGCACCTTTGGGTAGCTTCTAGTTCTCTGCTGCCACAAAGCTTGTAGGCATATCCCATCCACCTGCCCAGGTGAACAGATGCAGAGATTTCTCTACGGTAGACACCTGGGAGAACAGGTGCCCCTCCCAGTTGTACAATATGTGTCTCTTTGCTTTCCTAGGTAATGCCAGGGAACTTTCCAGAATATACCCAGTTATGCTCCTGCTAGAGGCTAGGCGGGTTTCTTATGGTAGCCCTTTCATCCCCTTGCTGCCCTCTCTGGTCCCAGTAAATCACCTTCCCCAGGTCCCGGCCACCCCTGCCCACCCTGCAACCAGTACTTCTGTGTAGTGTGTAGTGTGTAGTGTGTAGTGTACCTTTTTTGTGCGTATGCAGGCCAGCGCATTTCTTGGGTGTGATCTAGTACATGATGTGTGTAAAACACCCACTGCCTATATTTTAGTTCGACTGCTAGGCAGGGCTCTATGTTTCTACTTCAAGGAAATGAGGATAGAACAAGCTCAGAAGAGTCAATGCCCGCCCCCCGCCCCGTCCTGCTGGACCCCTGGGCTGACCTCTTCCTGCCAGTGTCAGGACAGTTGTCCTTGAAAATGATAAGCCACACTCTCTGCTCTTTCTCCGCGGCCCCGAGCGGAGTGTCCCCAAGATTGGCCTCGTGGATGATTTTTCGCTCCCACACATGCTCTAGTGCCCAGGCATGAAATCGCCTCCCCCACCGGGTCTGCCCTGCTATGGAGAGGATGCTAGTAAATGATAATCTCTTGTGCTGCCTCTTTTCTATTACAGGTTAGCCTGGGGCGGAAGATAAAGACATTTGCCACCAAGATGGTAATCACGAGTGGAAATGAGGAGGACAGAGAGGGCCAGGAGAGAGAGAGTAAGGAAGAGAGTGTCTTGGCGATGCTGGGGATTATCGGGACCATTCTGAACCTGATTGTTATCATATTTGTATACATATACACCACTCTGTGAATGGCCCAGAGGGTGCTTGGAGGCCTCGGGGTGGCCGCAAGATGGGAGTCCTGTGTGTCGACAGATCCGTGATCGGACGCTGCGCAAACAAGCAGGCTTGACCTACACACGCTGCTCAAGCAAATGCACCTTCGAACTTTATAAAAGGTCACAAATACAAACCAATCCTGCTGCAAGGAGCAGACACTAAAGCACAATGAATCCAACAAAACTCATTCACACGACAAGGAACTCTGCGTCTTTGGCCCGGAGCCCGAGAGAACACTTGGAAGACCAGCCTTTGATGCCATCGGTGAGCAGATGGGTGCAGAAACTCATGATCGCATATCTCTGATGGATGTCACGCCTTGGGAGAGAGGAGCAGGGCGGCGCGGCTCGTGGGTGTGTCTCCCAGGACATGCGCTTCACCTTTACTCAACGAGCCGTTCAGGATGCGAAACCACAGGGGCAGCCCTTTGACAGACATCCTATCCATCAAAAGTGTCTGACTATTTGATACTGGGGAGATAACTTATTTTTCTTTTTTCATTGGCTTGATGTGTGTACCTGTTCATATCAAGGTTTATAAATCTATATTTTTAATAAATGTGCTCTATTTTTTAGCATGAACCAAATATTTGGAGAGGCACTCCTGGAGTCCTAGAGCTTTCCTTGGTTTTATCTGCTTCGTCCCGTAGACTGCAGGTGTTCTGTGGTATAACCATCCTAGTCCTGCTTCCAACATCTTGAGTCTTTTACCTTCTCTCTCTCTCCTCTCTTTCTCCTTCTCTCTCTCCCTTTCTCTCTCTCGGGCCTGGAGGACATTTTCCCATAATACCAGCCATGGTCCTGGTCGATGCATGTTTCCAGATTGTCCGTTGAGCGGCTTTTTTTGTTTATATGGGAGATCTAAACTGATCGTGGGCATGTGGACCTTAGTTGCACCCATATCCTTATTGAGAATTTTGCATGAACAAGGGCCGAGTGATAGATCAGCTTCTCAGAAATGTAAAAAGGACAATCGGAAGGAGAGAGGGCAGCTGTATTTACAGGTCAACTCTGGGACGGAATAGCTTATACTTGTTGGCAGCATTATAATTTCGTTCTTGTGACCATTTGTTGACCAAATTCTTATTTTAATGGCCACATACCGTGCAAGATGGGGGGAGCGGGTAAAGGCCAGTACGAGTGCATAATCCCCCCCTTAGCGCACTGCCTGGGACCTTTTACAATGTAGGTGGGGTGTAAGTAGCATGTGGGCTCCCCACCATGAGAGCTCACGTGGGTGTTTCAGGCTGCAAGGACCCCCTTGTGACAGGTGACTTTTTAAAGACACAAGAGGGGGACAGAACGATCACCCCCAAAAGATTGCTGTGCTTATTTTAAAATCTTCTGGTTTACACCCACATGGAGCTACGTCCTCCCTGGTAGGGATGGGTGAATATAGACAAATCTGCCCTGTTCTCGCAGCTCCCTGAGACGGGTCTTTGCCTGGCTGTGGCAGCGTGTCCTGATGAAGAGGGCCGCAGTTCCTTTTGCCAGTGCCAGACTTTTCCATGAATGAAAAAAGCAGCAGCTTGCCTCGTTGGCTTCAAATGATGCCCAGGAGGTCTCTACCGCCAGATCTCTCCCTCCCCTTGTTGTGGCATCTGAAATTCCACCATTAGAGAGTCATTTCTTGTGCTCTTCTAAGGGACCAGGTTCTTTTATAAAGCGAATGCCCCTGAGCACCTGGCTCTGACATTATTCGTCAGGTGTCTTCTCTTCCCTACCAGAAGGAAGCAGACCTGCATTTAGGGCATGCTGTGTGCCGGGCGCTGTGCCAAACACTTTGTATTCCTTAGGTCATTGAATTCCCCCTGTGACCCTATGAGGTGTGGGGGTGGGTCTTTTCCCAGGATTGTAAAAGAAAGAGGGGCTCAGATCATGTGGCTGAAACCCCTGATCTGACTGATTCCTTAGCCCAGAGAGGAAATACACAGGAGGGGAAGGTGCAGGAAAGGGCCCTCGGGGTCAGGTCACAAATCCGATGGCTTTGCTAAGGGCCAGCTCTGTACACCTCCCTCCCTCTCCTCCATAAAAATAAATAACCCTTAGGAACGCCTTGGACAGAATATCCTACAAATAAGGACGAGGGACAACAGGCTGGTCAGAAATAAAATGGGATGTTGGGGGAGGGAGCTATCTACCGGGTTCTTTGTGATTCTAGAAAGACTGTATGAAAATTCTGAACAGTGAACAGAGTGAACAATAAAGGTGCAATGGATTAAAAAAAAACCTCTACATGTCTTTTTTTTTAAAACTTCATTGTCATTCCTTTGTCTGTTCTTACCTTTTATTTAAAGAACACGCGCACACACACGCAAACCCAAATGCAACTCTTTTCAACAGAGACAGTTTTGTTTGGGCCACAGAAGCCCCAGTGATTTTTCAAGTATGCTAATTCAAAATGTATTGAGGGAAAAAACTGCCTTTCCAACCCTCTGTGCCGCCTCCCTCCCATTGGTTCTTCTAGATTATTTTAATCCACAGCCTGCAAATAAAGCACCCAGCCTGTTGGGTGTGTGCTGGGCGAGGGGCCGCACTCTCCTGCGTCTCTGGCGCGCCCGGTCTCAGTCCTCCTCTCACTTGGCAGGACCCAAGCACACACGCTGCTTACACCCGCAGCTTCCCTGAGGATCTGGAGGCGTCTTCAGGGAATCAGGAAGAGACTGCCAATGGCCCTGGGTCTTCAGTCCTAAGTGCTCCGAGCCCAGCTTTGGGACGCAAAGCGCTAAGCACAACCACACCAGGGGTTTGTGCTCTCCCCAGCACTTTGCCCCCATCCTGCAGGAACGCCTCACAGCGATCCCCATGAGATGTGTGGGCTTATCCCCGTTTTACGAGGTGAAGGAAAAGGCTCTCCAGAAGGCTGATTTGTCCAAGTTTGCACAGTTAGGAAGAAGCAGAATCAGGCCTTCAGCTCCGCATCCACTTGCCGTGAGCACCTCGCATGGCCCGGGCTGTGGGGCTGGGCGCTGCTGGAGTCTGGCCAGTCCGGGCTCAGAGCACACTGATCCCCGATCCCCCATCTCCTGCAGCTGGTCCCCTGGGCAGCGTGGCGGAATTGATGCATTTCATTTCTACCCCCAGGAAAAAAACTCAGAAGGCCCATTCCTGGCAGCAGAGGAGGTCTGGAGCTGCAGAGTGCTTGCCTGGGGACTGAATCCCACTTTAGGCTCTTAGGAGTGGGCAGTCCATGCCAGCTCTGCTGGCCCTGGTGTTCCTCACAGGGGCGATAATGGTCCCCAGAGTCCGTCAGGTGGATATGTTTACGTCATTTAACTGATGCAGGAAGTGTGATGGGCAAGGTGAGTCTACTGGGCAGAGGCCCAGGGACTGACTGTGAGCTCACACAGCAAGGTGCTGGACCTAAGTTCTAGGGATGGCTGCCCAAGAATGGCATTGAGACCCCCAAAGAAAGAGCCCCGGGGAGCCTGAGGCTCAGTGGAGGGGACAGGATGCCTCAAACACCTTCAAATTCACTGTGAGGGACCCAGACTCCATGAAGGCAGAGGGAGGGGCTTGGGGTCCCTCGGATTCTATGGAATGGGGGGGTGCAGGACAAAGAGACCTTTTCCCTAGGATTTTTTTTTTCTTTTTCTTTTTTTTAACCCATAAGCCACTGAAACCCAGACAAGATCAAGTCCCTTAGTCACATAACTCGAGAGTCCAGAGATGTCAAGGGAAGTCTGGTGAAAGAGAAATCTCTATAGAGATTTTTTTTTTCTTTTAAAAAGAGCTTCCTGGATATTGGCTGGACCCCAAGGCTTTTTCCCAGTGCATGTTCTGTGATTTCTATGCAAAGCGAGTGGCTTCTCAGCCAATCCTGAGCTCCGTGCCCACCTTGTCCTCCGGAATGTACCATCCCAACCCCAGAAAGCACAGCTCTGGGGTGCTCTCCTGCAGGGAGGGCTGAGCCTCTTTAAGCTCTAACAGAAAGGACCTTTCATTATTACTTGTCTTCTCATGAGTCACAAATGCATGGTCACAGTTGAAAAGAATTGATACTTAAAAAAAATTTCTTGGGGAATCCCTGGGTGGCTTAGCAGTTTGGCGCCTGCCTTTGGCCCAGGGCGCGATCCTGGAGTCCTGGGATCGAGTCCTGCGTAGGGTTCCCGGCATGGAGCCTGCTTCTCCCTCCTCCTGTGTCTCTGCCTCTCTCTCTCTCTCTCTGTATCTCTCATGAAAAAAAAATTATTTGCATTTTTCTAAATTAAAATAATCTCCAGATATTGCCACCCAGAATCAAGTTGAGTTTTACTGCATACATATAGACCAGGTGGCCCGCACAGCTGTTTGGCGAGACCATTTTCCTTGCAATATTAAAATGCTGTTGCCTTTCGGCAAGACACACTGTTTAGGACACCATCCCGACACTCCCTGTTATAAAGGACAGCTTCCCTTGTTTCTCTTACTTGCTGGGTCCAAAGGCATTCTAGATGCCCATCCTCAGCAGCCTTCCAGACTCTTCCTCGTGAGTAGGTTGGATGTTGTAATTTACACAAATGGAGCCACGCTGTGAACACGGCTCCCAGATACTTTGTCATTAAGGATCAAGACTGTCCTCGCATAGGAGTGAATCTTGGGATTCTGTTGTTGAGAGGTGCCCTCACCGATGTCCCGGTTTTCTTGCTGTTGGATTTTTAGGTTGTTGACAGTATTTACTATGAACCACTCAGCTTTCTCTTTAAAGCATCCCAAGCGTTCTGGGAAGATCCCTTCGAGAGGCGTCGGTGGCTTCCTTCACGACAGCTTCAAGGACACTATCTGAAGAAGTCACTCTCCCAAACTAAAGTGGCAATGGGAATCCTCCGGATGCTCAGGCAACATGCACCCACTCTGGTCCCAGCTCCAGAGTGGACCCTCACCGAGTCTTTAGAGACTTCCAGGTGGTCAGGCATGTTTGCAAGTGGTGTTGCAGTTGGAACCCCCGGTGATGAGCTTGGCCAGGACCCCGGGATGCAGGTGGTTGTCCTGGTCTTAGATGGACCTCACCATCTCTTCAGCTGGGTTTCCTCATCTGTCAAAAGCTGACAGTGACCCAGGGATCCCTGGGTGGCGCAGTGGTTTAGCGCCTGCCTTTGGCCCAGGGCGCGATCCTGGAGATCCGGGATTGAATCCCACGTCAGGCTTCCGGTGCATGGAGCCTGCTTCTCCCTCTGCCTGTGTCTCTGCCTCTCTCTCTCTCTGTGTGTGTGACTATCATAAATAAATAAAAATAAAAAAAAGTCAGATCCCAAGTCATTGGAAAGTCAAATGAGACAATGCAGAGAGAGCTCCCAGTAGAATGCTTGGGAGAGCAGATGTGCTGTCTTGACGCCACTGTATACATGGAGGGATAGCAAGTCATAGGAAGTCTTTCAGTTAAAGTGTCAATCTCTCACTGTTTCCCTCCCCTCTCCTGCCTCCGTCTCTCCCTATTTCTCTTTCTCCCTCTTTTGCTCCCTCTCTCCCACCCTCCCTCTCCTCTTAGCACCTGGGCCTCAGCCCATTTTCCTATGAACATTGCCATCGGCCATGCGTGGCCTTGGGGCTCTCTCTTCCCATCAGCTGCCTGCAGAGGATCAGAAAGCCCACTGGCGGCCTTGTTTCCTTGTTCTCTGCAGAAACAACCCCATCCATGTGTAAGCACCTTCTGAGAGCTACTTGGGGTGCCCAGACTGGCTTCCATAATATCACATTTGAAGAGAAAGTTCCAGAGGCCTAATTCCTGATTCCCTCTCTGAGAGTGTTCTCTAGAAGACCCCGTTGCTTCCACCTCCCTAAAGGCAGAATTTCTGTGATGAGACTCTCCAGAAAGACCCCCTTGTGAGTTGGGGCATAATCTGACTTCACTACATAATGATTCTTCCCTTTCATGGGAAGCAGATGGAAGGAACGGACCACTGATATTTTCCATTGTTCGTAAACACGTTACACAAAATTGTACACACTTCTGGAAGGAAAAGGGCTACATATTGCTGTGAGAAGCAAGATCACAAAATTTATCTGTAAATTTTTCCCTACAAGAGTCTTTGTTAAGGGGCATGTTTACTAGACAATAATGGGGGAATTCAGCAGAATAAGAGTCAGATTCAGTGCTTCCACAGCAGAGTAATCAAGGGTCAGCACACCTCCCTGCCTGGGATAACAGCCTGCCAGGTACATAGGCTTGGCCTTAAAGCCTGGACCTTCAACTCTGTTGCCTGTCCTGGTCACTGAGAGGACAGCACAACTCAATGTCCTGTTCAGACAGTAGAGGCATCCCACTTCCCAGCCAAGGGCAGGAAGCAGTAGGATAACAGCTGAACAGTCTTAAGCATTACAGTTAGTAAAAAAACAAACAAAAAAAAAAAACAAAAAAGGAAAATGTCTCTAACTAGTCTCTGTATTATTGGGACTAAAGAATCAAAGTTAGAACAAACAGAGAGGTGGGTCAGCCTTAATTCTGATAAGATCCAAAGACCACTCCTCAAATCCTTCCTACCTGTAAGCCACCATCTTCCTTTTCATCAGGAAGGGGTCACTCCTGTCATGAAAGGCCAAAGGCACAGAACGACAGTGATCCATTGGTGTGGACCAGCTACAAATTCAAGCTTCTGAGGTGCCTGTACATCACTTAATTTGTGGGACCTCCAGCCCAGGAAAGGTCAACTTCAGGCACTTCCTCATAAACCTGCGTATTCTAGAAGAAACTTGTAGGTTCCCCTGGAGTCCATACATGGTTAGCTTACCTAACCCCTCGGTCAGCTCCCAAAGAGACTCGTGTCTCTCCCTTAGAGAGAGACTCAAGTCTCCCTTAGAACAGGAGTCAGGAGACACCTCACAGCACTATTGTCCTTTCTGTGGTTATCACCCTCACCCTCTTCTTGCCACCTGAGCCCTCTATTGTCCCAGCCTGTGAAGTCATGATCTGACCTAGGCTGGCTATGTTTTCACTTTGGTCACTTTGTGCTTCGTTCTGAGGAGTTTATGTTCATGTTTTTAGCTCTGAAGACTCTGCTGTAGAACTTTGGATTCTGAAGTTCTAAGATTGCTTCACTATTAAAGAGATGTGTGAATTCAGCTTCAATGGAGCGCTCTGGGTTGGTGTTGGCTGGGCCACCAGAACTGGGCAACAGTTCTTTTCTATCCCACCTCCCTCTGGAAAACTCAGCGGGTAAGTACATTGACTTGGGTATTTAAGCAATAAATGTGTGTAGAAATCCCATCAACTCACTCCTCACCAATGAGT